GAGTAAGTGCTAATTGAGCTACAAGGGAAAATCTATAAGGTTGATTGTGGACTTCTTAAATGAAACTTTACAAGCCAGAAGAGAATGGTCATCTACATTTAACTTTCTTGCAGCCCAGAATTCTATATGCTGAGAAGGTAAGCTTTAAAATTGTTGGAGGAACCAAATCATTTTCTGATATGCAAACATAAAGATTGTTTGCCACCATAAGACCTGCTGTATAGGAAATACTTAGACCTATTATCCATATTGACTATAGCAAAGGACCACCACTAAATTAAATACTCAGAAACTAAAGGAAAACCCCAGCTTCTACAATGACTCAAAAAATAAAAGTAACCAATAGACTTTCACAAAATAAGATGAATAAAACTCCATCAAACTTATGAATTCTCTCAGTAAATGTTAATGGCTTGAATTCCCCATTGAAAAAACATATACTAGCTGATTAGATTTTTTTTAAAAAAAAGCCATCAATATGCTGCCTGCAGAAAACACACCTAAACTCAAAGTACAAAGTGAAACTCAGGGTTAAGGGATGCAAATCAATATTTCAGGCAATTGAAAATCAAAAGAAAAGAGGGGTTGTGATCTTAGTTTCAGATACAAGTGGATTTAAAGCAACTAAAGTCAAAAAAGACTAAGATAGACACTCCACATTGGTCAAGGGGAAAATACAACAAAGAAGACATTTTAATTGTAAACATCTATATACCCAACTTAAACGCTCCCAGAGTTTTGAAACAGACCTTAACTCGTTTGAGCAATATGATATCACATAACACCGTAATTGCAGGGGACTGTAACACTCCCCTTACAGAGCTGGGCAGATCCTCTAAACAGAAACTAAGCAAAAATACAAGAGACTTAATGTGACCCTAGAAAAACTGGGCTTGGTAGACATATGCAGAGCACCCCATGTCAAAGATAAAGAATATACATTCTTCTCATCAGCAATGGAACATTCACCCAAATAGATCATATCCTAAGACACAAATCAAACTTCAACAAAATTGGCCCATTGAACATTCTCCAAAATAGATCACATCCTAGGACACAATTCAAACCTCAACAAAATCAAAAGAATTAAAATTATACCTTGTATCCTCTCAGAACACAAGGCAATAAAGTTGGAGCTCAACTCAAATAAAAATTGCCATCCCTGCACAAAAGCATGGAAATTAAACAACCTCACCTGAATAACAATAGGGTCAAGGAAGAGATAAAAGGAAATCATTACTTGAGTATAACAACAATGAGGATACAGGCTGCCAAAACCTGTGGGACACTGGAAAATCCATCCTAAGAGGGAAATTTATCTCATTAGATGCCTAAATCTAAAAACAAAACAAAAAAACAAATAAATAACTTAATGAATCATATTAAAGAAATGGAAAAGGAAGAATAATCCAATCCCAAACCTAGCAGAAGAAAAGAAATAACCAAAATAAATAAATGAAAGAAAAGTTGGTTATTTGAAAAGGCAAATAAAATCGATAAACCATTGGCTAGATAAAGCAGAAATAGATAAGTAAAATCTTGAATAACCTCAATCAGAAATGAAAAGGGAAAAGTAGCAACTGATACCACAGAGACACAAGAGATTATTTATAACTATTACCAAAAACATTATGCCCAGAAATTTGATGATGTTGAGTGCAGTTAAGCAAGAGAAAGACATAAAGGGCATCCACATAGGGGCAGAGGAGGGTCACTCTTCCTTTTGGCTGATGATATGATCTAATACTTAGGAAACCCCAGAGACTTAACCACACAACTCCTGGAAGTCATCAGAAAATACAGTAATGCCACAAGGGTACAAAATCAATATCCACAAATCAGTAGCTTTTGTATATGCCAATAACAGCCAATTTGAGAAGAAAATCAAGGATACAATTCCCTTCACAGTAGCTTCAAAGAAAATGAAATACTTCGGAATATACCTAACAAAAGAAGTGAAAGAACTTTTCAAAGAGAATTAAGAAAGCCTAAGAATTGAAATTGCAGAGGGATTCGAGGGTCCACTTCTGTGGTTCATCTTGCAAGGGTACAAGTGAATCTTTATATGAGTGGAATATGAATGTTTTGACATAATAACTAAGAAAGTTACATGAAGGCTATGTTAACCAGTTTGATGGAAGTGTCTTGGATTATGTATGAAAACACCACACTGTACCCCCAAAGTGCATCAATGTACACAGTTACCATTCAATAAAAAAAAAAAAAAAAGAATTGAAATTGCAGAAGACACTAACAAATAGAACATACCATGATCTTGGCTGGGAAGAATCAACATTGTCAAAATATCCATTCTACCCAGAGAAATCTACAGCTTCAATGCAATCCCCATTAAAATACCAACATTATATTTTGAAAAACTGGAAAATGTTCTACGTCATTTTTTACAGAACCAGAAAAAAAACCATACAGCTAAGCGTATTCTTAGTAATAAAAACAAGTTGGAGGCATCACCCTACCAGACTTCAGGCTATATTACAAGTCCCCAGTAATAAAAACTGAATGACATTAGGACAAAAATAGAGACACAGGCTTATGGAGCAGAATGGAAAACCAAGGGTTGAAACCAGTCTCTACTTGCCATCTTTGAAAACTAGCAAAGTGTATAGTGAGGGAAAGAATCCCTATTCAGAAAATAGTTCCTGGGTAACTGGAAGACCACATGTGAAAGATTGAAACTTGACTCATACTTTTCACAACTTACAAAAATTGACTAAAAATGTTTAAGTGACTTAAATATAAGACATGAAATGATAAAAATCTTGGGAAAAAGTGCTGCAAAACCTCTTGATGATGTGGACTGAGGAAAGATTTTACAACAAAAATTAACAAATGTGACTTAATTAAGCTGGAAAGATTCTGCACAGCTAAGGACACAACAAGTAAAGCAAAAAGACAACCTTCAGAATGGGAAAGGATATTTTCAGGGTATCAATCTGACAAAGGGCTGATAACTAGAATCTATAGGTGATTCAAATTAAACAATATAAAAAGAGCCAACAATGCCATGTATCACTGAGCAAGAGACATGAACAGAACCTCCTCTAAAGAACAGACGAATGACTAACAAACATGAAAACATTTTCATCATCTCTAATCATCAGAGAAATACAAATCAAAATCACCATAAGATACTACCTAACACCAGTGAGAATGGCCCACATCACAAAGTCTTAAAGCTTCAGATGCTGGTGTGAATGTGGAGAGAACAGAACACTTTTATACTGCTGGTGGGACTGCAAACTAATACAACCTTTTTGGAAGGAAGTATGGAGAATCCTCAAAGAACTCAAATTAGACCTGCCATTTGATCCTGCAATCTCATTACTATGCATCTACTCAGAAGAACAAACATTGTTTTATCACAGGACTTTTGCACTAGACTGTTAATTACAGCTCAATTTACAATTGCCAAAACATGGAAACAACCTAAATGGCCAACAACACAGGATGGATTAACAAGCTGTGTTATATGTATACCGTGGAATACAATTCAGTCGTTAAAAACAATAGACTACATCTTTTGTATAACCTGGATGGAGTTGGAACACATTCCTCTTAATAGAGCATCCCACAAATAGAGAAACAAGAATCCAACGTACTAAATTTCAATATGAAAGCAGTAAATGATGTAATATAAGGTGGGGAATAGGGGAATGAGGAATTGGAGAGAGAGGAGGATGGAAGGGGATAGGAGTCAAGATGTATGGCATACCTCTTGGCTGAATAACACAAGAGGGACTTTACCTAACAAATGCAATCAGTGTAATTTATATCCTCAAAGAATCCCAAGCAATAAAAAATAAATCAACAAATAAAGAAATAAATGTTTTTTGCATGAATAAAACTTTAAGCTTTGAACTCATAATTAGGAAATGGCATGATATAAAACAATTTAAAAATATGATTTTTCTCTTTCCCACCTGACTAGGATAGTTGTTCCTCAAGTAGAGTTAGCGAGTTCCAGTGCAACACTTACCTTTAGGTTACCCTGGCTACTGCTTTTAGTTCTGGGTCTTTAGTTCAGTGTCATCTTCTACATTTAACTTAATTTCTTGAACATTTCTAATTTGTCTAGTTCAAGATTTCTGTATATGTTACTTACCATTAATAAAAATCCACATATGCTCTTCAACTTCCTGTTTGCTCACAGGTCAGATTGGAGGTGGAAATCACTGGTATAAGGGTGGGGCTGAGGGAATGGGGTAGTTTATCTTAGAGTTCATACTCCATGGATTCAAGTTTTTATTCTGCTACTAGTTTTAAATGAGTTTAACACCTGAACCTGTTTCTGTATTTGCCAAAATAGATATAGCATTAAAAATACCTTTAGTATAAATCTGTTGTGAGAATTAAATAGGAAAGTGTTCCTGAAATTACTTTTTAAACTGTGCAGTGCCATAAATGTACATAATTATTCCCATGTGACAAAGTTTGGAATAAATCCTAACATAGCAATGGAAGTGTGGAGACAGTTTCTGGAAGAGAGAATTTGTGAACTGTATTTTATAGTACATTTCTATCCTGTTTTAGAATGGATAATGTAGCAAAGGCAAACAATGTCTTTAAGGAAGTAGAAACACTTTTAAAATCTTATATTTAGTCTATTTAGAGTATGTACTACCACATTTAAGCTTCCCAGGACTCCCAAACTCTGTCCTTGTCTTTCACTCTCCTCCCTGAGGCTCCAACTCTAACCACGTGGGGGATTACTAAGTGTGCGGGGGTTTCCCCTCATGGTAGCTTCTACGTCATCTGATTGTGGCGCAGTATCACCACGCATGCACCCAATTGTGAGGTCTTACATCCTTTCCCTTATATAATCCTAGATACCCTAGAACAAACCACTTGCACCAGGCAGTGCGGGACGCCTAGCACCCTGGCAGGCAGCATCCCAAATCCGGGAGGCTAGCGTCCCCCTGCTTCCCAACCGCCAGCTGAGAACCTCACTTCCCGGGAAGAGATAAGAGGCCAAAGAGGATATGGGCATCTTTCTGGTTCTAGCAAGCTGTATGATGTTCGCCTTTATGGTTGTCATCTGGAAAATTCGGTTTCGGGTAAAGATACATGCAAGGGAGAAGGGAATTTGATGAGCCAAGATCAGTATATGGATTGGGGTGGGGGATAGAGAATAGAAAAACAATAAAATAAAATTTAAGGGGAGATCACCTCATTCCTCTTTTCTTGAAAGAGTCCAAGAACTTTTATTCCATATTACTGTGATTCCTACATTTTGACCAGTAATTCAATAGCTGTGATCTGTTATAAAAAGCTCCAAGTCACTATGGTCAGCTTTTCACTCACCTGTACAGAAATGAAGCTGAAACTGCCCATTCCCCACTATCACCGCCTCAATTTAAGAATCTGTTGTTTCTTTTTTTTTTTCTCTCCTATTCATCTCACCACGTGTCTGTTTCCTTCTCCTCGTGTGGGAGCTTTCTAGGCATTGACAAATAATTTAATAAAAATATGGATTTCCTGTCGTTATTTAAAGCCACAAGTATAGTGCTTTTAGATAAGAGTTAAAGACAAAATCCGTTTGTAGACCTACTAATCTACCTCAAAAATGTAATGAAAGGATATGGTACTTTGGCATTATATGTCTTCCTTCACTTATTTTTTAATCCGTCTACATTTTGGAAGAATATCTTTCTGAATTAATGTAGTCTTTCAATACATTTTTAATTTCTAGCTCTTAAGTGAAATCAGTTCATTTTGGTAACAAAGACTAATTGAGTTGTTGTTAGTATTTAAAAATTGCTAAATTCAATAAACTAAATATATATAATTTCTTTACTTTACAGAGAAAGACTGTATCATCAAATTCAACTTCTCTTGAAGTAGTAAGCAACTCTTCTACTGAGTCACCTAAGACCAGTATTGATGGGAGTTTTTCAGTCAATGACCTCTCTCGGGATATCTTAAATAATTTCCCACATTCAATTGCGATGCAGAAGCGAATACTGGTAAATCTCAGGATCGTGGAATACAAGCTGGCTGAACTGGAACACTTTCTAGTTATTAAGGGTTTAAATGGTGCATTAGTTAACCGGAAATCCACTGAAAAACTTACAAAATGTAAGGACAGTGGAGAAAATCAATAAAGACACTTTGAGTAGGTTCATTGATTATGTGTTTATACTGAATGGATTGCTTAGATGGTGAAGAGATGCCAAATAAAATACAAAAATCTAAATACTTGTTGATTTTCTTATTCACATTTTATTTAAAGAATTGATTGCATGATGCTAATATACATTTCACTGGGGAAGTAATAGAAGCCTGACAGAGAAAGAATTAAAAGTTTTAAAAACTAAGCTACAGTAAGCCAGGCATTGTGGTGGGCACCTGTAGTCCCAGCTACTTGGGAGGCTGAGGCAAGAGAATCACCTAAGCCCAAAAGTATGAGGATGCTATGAGCTGTGACACCACCACACTCTACTGAGGGTGACATAGTGAGACTCTGTCTCAAAAAAAAAAAAAAAAAAAAAGAAAAAGAAAAAGAAAAGAAAAGAAAGAAAAGAAAAAGAAAAGGAAAGGAAAAAATTAAGCTATCATAAAAATATAGTTTAAAACAGTGATTTTAATTTCACTCAAGTGTTAAAATTAGTTTTCCTAATGGTTTACAGTATAATACTGCAATCCCAGTTTGCATTAAAGTAAATGGGATTTGATGGAACTCTTTTCCATTTTGCAGAATACTGTTTCTTGCCACTGTGTAATAATAAGAGCGATCATTGAACACTCTACAATATGCTAAGCATTCCATTAAGACCTGTGCTTTATACACTTGTCAAGATAGTGACACAAACTCTTAACTACTTTTTGTGGTCAGTTTTCAAAGGGAATTCCTTCCCTTTCATACCTCTTATCTCTCCCCAATCAGATATTCTTTCATTTGAAATGCCTAAATCTTCCCTGAAGTACAATAGTTACCTATCGAAAATTATAATCTTCTGATTGGTGAAAAATCTATACCTCACGCAGCACCAAAATGTAATGAAGGAATGTATGTAACACACTGTGGATAATAATTAAGAAAACAGTCTAAGCTCTAGTTATCTACTTCAAATAATATTTTATAAAATCCAGTATAATTACAGAATGAACAATCTCTTGAAATACACCAGCAACATTAGACCTACCCTCAAAGAAAATTCTCAAAATATCAAATATTAGTTAATCCTATGTGTACACACATCCACACAACTCACTGGGATGGTCCAATTATAGGCTGACGTATTTACTACTACCTTCATACTCTTCTCTCTCCAAAGTAAATTACCAGGATACATTATGGAAATGCCTTAATCCATTATTCCTTCATCTTCAACCAAAAAAGAGGAAAAGGAATTTAAAATATGTAAGAAAAACCATTCCTTCTGTTGTCACTCACTTGGTAAGCACAAAAGCCAGCAGTAGTGTATGTGGTTCTTAAACTTTTTTGGATCACAGGTCTGTAGGCTATTCTGATGAAAACTATAGACTCTCTTTCTAGAAAAATTCAAGTACACATACACACAGAAAATGTTCCAGAATTGCTCAGAATTTCCTTATATAGTTGGCACTTGTCATCCGAGGTTGTGACATTTAAACCAATTGTCATAATGTTTTATGGATTATAATAAATATTCAAAGCTATTAATCGTATAACATATTTCATTATTTTTATGAGAAAATCAGGACATAGTACTTTACAATTTGACTTCCCTCATTCTTGACAAGTTTGAAAAGTTTATCTCTTAACAGTATGTAAACCAGTTATCACCCAGAAACAGTAACTTATTCAAAATCATTCTGTTTACTCTATTAGCCATGTATCACAATCATAAAATGCTAGATTTGATTAAAGCTCTTTCTTAGTTAACATTTTGGTTTGAAATTAAACCTAGATTTCTAAGAATATAATGAACAATTCTTAATTTTATGAAACACAATAGAAATTAAAAGGATCATACTTTTCTTCCAAATGTAACCTAAGGAAGACAGTATATGAGCAATAAGTAAGGAAGTAATTGAAACTCCATTTTCTAGATTTGCCACCTACTGGCCATGGGATCCTTAAATTTCTGTCTTAGATCACTCTATATGAAAAGAACATTAACTAAATTCACATAGAATATATGAGCCAGAGCAAATGCATGAAGTTTTTAGAAATACCTGGATCAAAAGTATTAGAGTCCTCAAATAATATTCAGTAATTTTTTTCCACTCATTTATAGAATTTCTGATTGAGGCCTTCAATGTCTAACACTTTCTTTTAAATATACTGATTTATTTTTCACCCAGCTTTGTGGAAAAAAATTGTATATTAAGAAAATATGATCCAATAATATCTTAAAACTTGTATAATAGAAAATAACTATTTTATAATAATCAGCTCAAAATAAAGTTTCCAATGCATTAGAAAAACATTATGATAATATTTACAAAATTGTTATTGTGAATAGAGACAGTTATATGTGTAGGAATGATACAGATAATCTAAAAAGAAATATGAGCACCTAGCTAAATATTAATAGATTCACATTTTTATATTACATTCCTGCTTAAATGAGAAAAACTTATCACAATATTATGAACATAGTATATACATTTTCTACTCAATTAACATACAAATAAATAAAAATTTCCCTTACTCTAAAAAAATCACATTACACAACCACATATCTTTTAAAATGAGATTTCATTCTGGTTTTCCACTACCACTAATAGTAGGTATTTCATGGTCAGTCTCCTTATTAGGATCTACCATGTCTTTATATCTCTCGCCACGATGTCGTTCCAGGTATGGACCCCAGTTAGAAGCCGGTCTGCAACAGCTTACAATGCGCTAAAAGGAAAAAGAAAAATTCTTGTCTTAGAATTTAAGTGCTACAATCTGTAAACATGCAAATATTAAATTATTCTTTTTTTGCTAACAAAGACCATCCTAAGAAGTAAAAAGTGGTAGCCTAAATTCTTCATAGTGTATAGCCTACTAAGAAAAATTTATAATCAAATTTAACTGTTTGTTAATATAATTATATTAAATACTAAACCAAAATAACTGAATATGTAACTGATTTCAAAAGAAAGAGTGTGGGCCCATTAGTGAAACAGTGTTGTTAGTCCATACTCCTCACTAAATTCTCAGGCTTTTCCCTTCTTGCATTGGGATGAGGGTGAAGTAAGGATCTAAACCAGTGTGTCCCGAGGATGTTTCAAAAACTAAGAAAAGGGAGCTCTAGGGTCAGACCATTGCTTTGGAAGAACATCAGAATTTATTTAAATCTTTCTTTTTTTTCACTTTTTGGCTGAAGCTGGGTTTGAACCTGCCACCTCCAGAATATGGGGCCGGCGCCCTACTCCTTTGAGCCACGGGCACTGCCCTTTATTTAAATCTTTAACTCCAGAGTCTACATTGTCCTTGTCTTTGTGATATAACCTAATCGACTCTAACCCCTGGTCCTTCATGGAAGAGGGATGACTCAGGGTCTAGATAGGGTTCAAGATAATTTAACAGGCTAATTCCAGTCTAAATGCACTACTGGGACATGTATTATAACCAAATGAGGTTTTAAAAGGAGTGGTGATGGATATGAAGCAAAAAGGTGATTTGCTTTGTGACATCTTCAGAAATAACTCAACACAAGTCTAGATATCTTAGTTATTATGTTGGAAGCAGTGTAATAAGGCCTGAGGATACAGCAACAAGGAAGACCAAGGAACTTATACTCTAGTACAGGGAGACATGCAAATATAAAGAGAATATAATATGATGTTATGCACTAGTAACAGATGATTATATCAGGTATAGAAGTAGCCAAAAGGAAAGAGTGATTAATTTTGTCTCACATAATCTCATATTATTACCATATGACTAAATTAATCTTTATCTTGATACTTTGCAAAAGGTAAAATATTTTAATTTAGTGTTCTTACTTGAAAGATGTTTCCTTTAGCCTGAATAATTTTTATGATAGCCATAACTGGAATCCAAATAATGCAGAAAATAATCATACACCAGCCTAGAGCCACTCCCCAGTCAGGGTATGGAATTTCGGCATAATTAGGTCTATGAAATTGTACCAATGACCAGATAAAAATTGCCTGAGAAGGTAAAATATGAAAAGACAAAACCCAATATTATACTTTATTGCACTAATTATTCCAATTTAATTTCATTCATCATATGTAATTTATCAAATATAATGAAAATGAATTAAAGCAATTAAAATAATCAAGTAACAAGCCAGAAGATAACAATAAGAAATGAACCAAATAACTTATATTTCCACTTTCAATAAATTCTTCCAAAATTAATACCTTCATATATTCATACAAATACAAATATTTATTCAACATATATTTCAATAAAATACTTAGCCATATATCAGATTAAAAGTAAAATAATATCTGAAATTTTTCTGTTATTAAGCTTTTTAACTTTTATTCATAATAGCATGGTTTTATTCTATACCATAAACTCGGCAGCATTTCAATTAATTTAATGAGAATTGAAAGGAGACTTTAGAGCACATGCTTCCCTCATTGCTTAGCAATTGTTTCTATTATTTCCCACTACACAGAACACTTCTTTTGCCACCTCAAAAACACACATGCATTTACACACACTACTGTTTACAAAAGCACACTTCACTTTCAGGCTCTTACTGAGGGGAAAAAAAAGCAGAAACAAGCGAACAAACTCAGTATATGCTTAAGTAATATAGTGAAATATGAATCTTAAAGATTAAAACACTTTAATGCCAGATTATATGTCTAAAAGACTTCCTAGAGATGTTGATGAACTAAAACTAATTGCCTACAATTGTATAAAGCAAAACAAAAAACTCAACCCCCCCAAATCATCTAGTATTTTCTCTAATTTTAGCTGTCTTTATTTTACTAAAATTAATGTGAAAACAAAAGATTGTAAGAATCTTTGTAAATGGACATGCAAGATTAATTTTAAAATAAAATAGATTAATTCCATTAACTTAATTTAATTACAAAAATTCAAATGTGTTTTACAATTACTGTAATTGTACATAACTACAAGAGAATGAATAGTGGTGTCTAATATACATGACTTTATACAAAATCCATGACAATATATTAA